CAGGAAGCCAGGGAAATCAAAGAATCGGAGAAATGTCTCAATTACAGACTCAGCGGGCAGGGTGGGCTTTCCCCCGTGCTCCCTGAGAATGCTGCCCTATTTATTCAGACCTATCACTCGCAATTAAACTCTGCCCGCTGCAGCAGTTTAATTATCAAAAGCAAATCTGGGAATCACTGAGGAGTTATATTAGGGTAACTGAAATGATATAGCATCAGGCTAACCTACGTCATTTTTGGTGATACTGAGGTACATTAAAACACAAACACACACCTGAAAAATCCTGATATAGCAACACTACAGTAATTAATACAGAATGTATTTATACTTATAAGAAGAGATGCTAAGTGTTACCTCGTATATCAACAGAAATTAAAGTACAAAGTAAAGTTTTCTCAGTTGAGAAAAACAGCTTCACCAAGAGCATTTCACACTGATAATTCTCTCCCAAGCAGTTACCCTCATACTTTAATAGCGATATTGAATAACACCGACAATATGCTGTGCCCAGTACTTATAGGAACCACAATATATTCCTTTCAGCTACAAATCGGATCATGGAATACTTATAAAGCCACACTAGCGGCCAAAACTGTGGAAACACCTACCATTTCTGGCATTACGCATTAAAAATTACTACACTAATATTGGCGGTAATGTTTATAAACAATCAAAGAATGCTTACAAATATCACATATTGGGCGATAAAATAAGTAACCGAAGTAACTGGAATAAGGTTCTGCAATCTCTAAAAATTGGAAGTATTTCCACAATTTTGGCCACTAGTATATATACTGTAATAAGAAAGTACTGGAAAGCATTGTGGTGATTATTAAAACAAATTCCCCACAGGAGGTATTTATTTAATGTTTTACATTAAAACATAAATACTGGTTTGAATAACAGTGAAAGAGGCAGTGCTTTACAAGAGCACAGTGTCACTAGAGTTCCAAGTAAAAGTCCCACTTTGAAGTGGATATTTTTTGTTACTATATAAACTGCATCAAGGGTTTCCATTATTTGGCCATGATGTATTTCACTAGTGGTTCACTTCTGTTACTATTGTTTAGAAATAAACTTCTAATTTTATACCAGGCATTTAAGACTATATATATTATAAGGGCCTGTGACTCTCTACTGGAAAAGTGGGTGGAAGATTGATGCAGAGATGAATGAATTGATGGATGAATGTTTAAAGTAATAAAAATTTTTGTTAATTTTAAGTACTTCAATTGTTGATAGACTATGTCTGTCTGTATTGTTCTGACATTAACCATTAATGATCCGTTTGTGGATTTCAATTGTTTTTTTTTCCATTAGGTGAGGACATTGACAAATTCAAGAAGAGTATGTACCTTCAAAGCAGCTCTCGGAGGTGACACTGTGCCATATTTGCACACTTATTTGATTTTTTATTTCCCGGCTGGCAGCGTGTCACCGGTGTTAAACAGAGGTGATGATAACGCTATTTGTGCGCGAGCTGTATGCCCATCTGCAGACAGCTGATTCCATAAAGATTGAGAAGGGAATACATTTGCAGAAGTACACTCCCCGCTAATCTGTTTGAGGAGCACTGTATGGCATTAGTACCTGCACTTCATGTTATCTGCCAGCCCTGATAAGATACATCTTTATTAAATTTGGTTATTGAAAGGGTGTCAGTCAAGGAAAGGAAATATGCTAATAGAGGAGAAGAATTAAAGGCCGCGCAGCCCCTGCTACCCCCCACTCTGACTGCGGCGTCTCAGACGGCAGACTGGGCCCCTTGACCAGCTCAATTGAGAGGCTGCATGGAAGAGGGGAGAGACCAATGTCTATCTCCAGCAGCATGAGAAACTGGCTGGAGATGTACAAGGTGAAATAGCTTTTCTTTTCATTTTGTGCTCCCCACCCCATCCCCCACACTGACACACACACACACACACACACACACACACACACCAGTCCTGTCCCGGTCTAAGAGCTCCCCTCTGTGAATGCCGGGTGGCACTGCAGTGCAGTGAAGGCCTCGGAGATGCTCACTGGCTCTCTCTGGCTTAGTTACTGATGTGATTCACGTGTCCAGTGTTTCCCGTGCGGTAATTCCAGCAGTTGTCGGAGACATTTCCCAGATGACCTTTAACCTAAATTAGAGCTGTTCTGAGACTCGAACACATGCGTACATCCATGACATAAGCTGAGGAACACAGGGTATAGTCCTGAAATATCGAACACGAGCGGGGTAAACCAAGACTGCTACTCGAGGAGCCAAACTCAGAGACATACGCGAAACGTGTTTGGAGTTTGAGTATTATGCAGAGCTGCGTGAGTGTAGGCCAGGGAAATTATACGATCAAACAGATCCCTTTGTCTTATTCAGAAGTGTCCACAGTTGGAGCTGTCATTAGGCACCACGGAGACTGACAATAGGCTCAAAGTGGCGTTTTTGTGCGCCGGTGATGGCTCCGAGCGATAGGCAGCAAAGGGTTAACACCGCAAAGACAAAAGGGAAGGCTGGAGGCATTGTGCTGTAGAAAGGCGCTCAGGACCGCCGCCGGCCAAAGGCCTCCTCTGAGTGAGAGTCGCCTCCTTTGAGCATATAGGGAGAAGCATTCATGCCTAGATGCAGCTCAAAAGACCCTGTCAAGGCCTCCTCTCTACCCGTCCCCCAAAAGAAGACGCCCTCTCTGCTCACCACAGCCAGCCTGGGCCCAATCCCAGGCAGGCCGAGAGGGGCCGAACCCCATTTAAAAAAGAGGTCACGTCAGCAATGAAGCGGCGGGTCTCAAGCCCGAGACATCCTCCCGCCAGAAGCGGAGCCCTCCGCCCCCGGCTGGGCCCACCAGGACTTGCATACCACTACTAAGCTTCCCCCTCAGTCCTGCGATGAAGCCAGGAAAGCAGCAGATCCTGGCGAGAACAAACCAGAGTAACGTGACCAGGGTCCCCTGGATGGCCTGCTCGGGCAGTGAGAGCACATCTACCAGAGCAGGAAATGAGAGAGCCTTTCTCACCTGGGACACGCACTGCCATGCTGTTGCAATAACAGGCAACAGCAACACAACATGCCTCATCTCCCACAAACAATCCAGAGGAAGCTGAACTGCAAGAGCTAAGCACTGAATTCCTATAAAAAGGACCAAAATTAAAATAATAAGACAACACAACACGTGTTGACAGACAAAGCTATTTCACACCTATGCGCCAGATCATTTGTGTGTCATATGTCCATTATTAATATAAGTAAACAATAATAAGACAACACATTCCAATCGTGTCCTGAATTCCACACCAGAAGCTACTGCCCTAAGCGAGGAGTGTCACTCACATATCTGCTCAGGATCTGCTTCCGCTCGTAGGGGTCGTCCAACATGTTGACGGGCAGGTCAGAGATGGACACAGCCGCAGAGGCGGTGAGAGTGACCAGCATCATCAGCATGCCGCGGCCCTCCTCCAGAGGAACCTCTAGCTTGTGTGTGCGCTCCTTGCTCAGCGTGGAGAGGTCCACCTGACACCTGGAAATGCCAGTCACACAAAAACAGGAATGCATTAAGAAAACCGCGGAGCGCCATGGGACACAAACAGGCATTATATGCACATTTCTTGCTTTCTAAGTACAGCGTACATATTACCTGCATGTGTGTCATCAAAGATTCTTAAACAGTATAGAAAAATATATGTAAATGACCTCAGGCAACGGCTATAAGCAGGATACTGGAGGAACTACAAATAGAAATGGAAGTACTTGCTTGGCTTCGACACTAAATCACTTTCTCCGGACCACGCTCCGCCATGTGACAAGTTTGCATGCAGGTACTGCCACCTGGCTAACAAGCTAACCATGTCATTTAATGAAAATGTCAATTGGTAGTGAAGAGCCGGATAATACACTGACCACAGGGCCAGCAGGCCCAGCTAGGGAGGGCACACTGAAATAAATGGACATTTAAAGAGCCGAAATGGCCAATTAGGAGTTAGAGAGGCAGAGGCTGCAGCGAGTCTCCCAGGCTTCAGTGGACGTCACCTTGCAGGATGGAAGTTTGGGGCCTGAAGCAGAAGAGGAGCTGGCAGATAGCTCAGTACATTTAGCAGCTCTGCTTCCATCTTCTCTTCTCTATTAACACTTCTGTCTGCAGAACTTAATGGGGCCTTGTCACGGAAAGAGACACACATTGCCTTTGCAGTGTGGGAAGGTTCAAGTCACAAATAAAATTAGTCTTTTCCCACCCTGAAATAGGATGGAAAAGTATCACCTTTCGGTGAACTTTCGCTGGACACAAGCCCTTTTTATTGCCTTTCGGGGAAATTTATATAAAAGAAACAAAACAAAAGGCATTTATATTATTTATAAGCTATGCGAGGACTATAAATATGTGAGCAAGATTTTTAGATTTTTTTTTGTCTATTACTGGTTATTTGTTTTTGTTTCAAATTCCAAAGAGCACTTTACCAGCAAGACTGGTATTAAAGGAGCATTTCTAAATGGCACCAAAATACATTTCTTATACTTCTTCTCTCTTTCGCAGTAACAAAAAATCCAACCATCACAACAGCGGGGGGGCACCTTTGCACTGCTCTCAGCTTACAGCCAATCCATCACAGTCTTCCCCCATCTGCCATTCAGACAGTGAGGCGTGATTTATGGAATCATTATTCAAGTATCAGCACACATCCAGTCAGACTCGTAATATACATCCTGCACAGATGGAAATAAAGATGCCGTCCAGGCAGATAAAGTCCCCGGGTTATAAAAAAAATCAGCGTTCCTCTTTTACGCTGAAATATATTTTCACACAACAGTTATAGGTACGCCTCAGGAACGGGGGACAATGACTTAAGATGTGCCACTTGTTGAGAGGGATTAATGTGGGGCATGTTGCGCAAAGGGACACAAACAAGATGGGGACGCCAGCACATGTTCAGAAACCTTAGATGTCAATCTAAGGCCGAAACTGCGAAACTGGCACTAGTTTCATATTGGAGATTAGGAGAGCGATGGCCTCAGAGACTGCCGGAGAATGATTTTCAGGCCTGACAGATAATGGCGTGGTGATCAGGCAAGCGCCTCTGGCACAAAACCATAATTAACTCAATTTCCCTTCCATTACAGTCTCACTATATCCCTGCTGCTGAGGGCCTGTCTTTAGTGTGCTGGATCTCTAGAAGTGATGTCATGCTTTAAGTCTAACTTCATGCCTCTACTTACATTGGTCTGTAATCTGATCACCAATACATGCTTTTTAAATTTTTATTAGTGAGAAATTTTAATTTTCCAATCCGTGGATTGCGACTACATTTTGGGGGTCTTGTACAATTTCCAGTGTGCATTTCACTATTCTTTACACAATGCTGGATTATTTGCAGAAAACTTCATAAGCAACTGAGACATATAAACAGTTAATATCCGAATGCAAAATGGTATTTCAACAAGTTGAACTAATCAAACAACCTTCCAGCAACTGTATTCCAAAATGGAAAAAATACTAATGATTTATTATTCTTTTCTGAATTACACTTCAGTCTCTGATAATATAATGAGGAGTCTCTTAAGCTTTTGCTATAGCTAAGGGCCAGTTCTCTGTTTAAAACTCTCGACATGCCTGAAATCCTTAATCAACAATAAACAATCAAATTAACTTTTTGGGTGGAAAACCTTTAACTGGCCTGCTTGACTTTAAGTGGTACAAAATTTTTGATAAGCTTAAAACGATGCTACACGAAAATCTTTCACTTAATGTCATAATCTAAGAGCATCTCAAAGTCTGTGTGGGAAGTCTTGACTCCAACATTGCATGGAGTCTCCTGCCCCCTGCTGGACAACCAGCAGAAGAGTTATCTCGCTTTTTTTCGCTGTGAAATTGGACATGCACACAGAAAAATTTGAAAACTTTACATTTATCTACAAAGCATGTCTCTGTTACTAACACCATCTATTATTTAACTCCATCCAGGCACATACAAAATATTTGTCAATCCATCCATACGTCTTCTATAGTATTTACCCAGTACGGGGTTGCAATCAACCTCGAGCAATCAACAATCACATACTATGGGCTATTCACATACACCAGCCCATCCGGCTGCATTGTTATGAACTGTGTGCGATTAGACAAGTGCCTCTGGCACAAAGCCGTACCCAGCTAAGAAACAATAGGCCAGGACACAGTGGACCTACATGAAATAAACTGTGCACATACTTGTGAATTAAATGACAGAATAATAAGCAATCCAGAGTGTAACTAACGCAACATTTAGGCCAAGATTCACCTACCTGCCCATGAAATCGTCCTTTTTCGCGGCATCTTTATCCCAGACAGTGATATCGATGATCCCACCATGTTCTTCGTATATGTGGAAGTCAAACTGCTCTCTCCACTGGGGGTTCAGGGTTTTGGACATCGTCTGGAAAATAAATTGAAAACATCTGATGATTCTTAGTAGATCAGTATAGATCTAAAACATATACTGTACATTCTGGAGCACAAATATCCCCAGTAATAAAAGAATGGTAGTAGGTAGTAAACAGTAGTAAAATGACCTTGCTCTTGTACTTCTGGTGACCAAGCCGGAACTTGACATAGGGATCACTCAGTCCATTGGAGTCCATGGGCTTCAAGTTGCTGCCTTCTATAAGAGCGATACTAACAATGCCCCTCCATAGCTGGGACTTCCGGTGTAGGTCTGAGAGCCTCAGGCTGTGGTACTGCAGCTACACACGCAAACAGACATAGGCATTGGAAATGTCAAACCCAGGCCTCTGAGCCAACTGCACAGGCAAACACGGGGCCATCTCTACAAGGGCAGTTTTGATTGGTCCATTCAAATCAGGACGCATGTGCAATCCAAAAAAGACAAAGAAATGCACAATGCATACGTACTTTACTTAGGTGCTGGCAGGTAGAATTCAAAAAGTGGCCCAGATTTAGATTTATTTTTGGTTTAACCGATGAAATCTTGGCTTTGATCAATGGATAATTTCAGTGTGGTTTTTCAAGGAAATAATGACAAGGCATAGGTTGGCAAAAACTGTAAGAAATATCCATACTTTGTGGAAATAAATATAAATGTGACATTTATGGACAGAGAAATGATAAGTCTGAATCTGAAACATTGGGCCGATTTTTACCCACTCCTCCAGTCAGGGTGCTTACCTGCCGGTACCTACTCTGTATATTTACACCCTCGTATACTTACAACCAGGAGCACGTCTGTGCACAATACAGAAAATAAAAATACTTTAAAAATACAAAGAGGAAAAAGCTGGAAAGTCATCTGAGAAACTCTAAAAGATGAAAAATATGATTACTGCAGTACTGTAATACCAAATACTATTAGATGTTGTATTGATCGGTATCCATATATCCGGAAGTTCGGGGGTTCAAATCCGGTGACTGGTTGAGGAATCATATTGCTGTTGGGCCCTTGAGCAGGGCCTATATGCCCAACTGGTTCCGGGATGCTGGTTAACCCTGGTCTCTGGCCCCAAGTTTTCCTCACTTGTACATTAGTTTGGGCAAAAGTGTCTGTTAAATATAACTCCTATAAAAATCAATAATAATTATAAGTGCATTTTGAACAGTTATCAATTGCATGTAATGTTCCAGAAATTTAAGATAAGTTCATTTTCATGCATTTAAGTCATGTGGGGAGTTTTTACACAACATTCTTAGCATTAACAGTAGATATTCCAGATTTGATCTGGAAACTGGTTTGCATTCTTTTCACTTGAAAATGACATTAAACCCCAATTACTCTCTTACAATAGAGAGCTTTGATCTTAGGTGAACCTCTAATCCGTATTCTCCAGATATTACACAACAATTGGCCGACTAGCAACACATGAATATTCCTATGCAAAAAAATGTATTTACAAACACATATAGTATGCAAATCACACATATCCAGGAAATTTCATCCCTGCTGATCTATAACTGAAAAACTTTTATTTTTAGTTGTTACCTCTCATTACATAAATTAAGAAAAATTACACCTAGGCCTACAATTAAAAGTGACGTGCATTTAAGCTACACAACAAAAATAATAATTGAATCAGGAATAAATACAAAGACCTGTGGGTATTTGAAATCTCCAACTTTGACCAAAGTTTCATTCTGTGTCAAGCAGGGTGGCTGGAGGGGAGAACAATGGGTGGGTGGAAGCTGTGAACCTTCTTATGAAGACTGGCAGGAAAACAGGATTGGGATTCTTTGCTTCTGTTTTGTTTAAAAACCACCAGCTCATCATAAATTCATTAAAGTTGAACATACATATAAATAAATACGGAGAGCTTAGATGTGGGGTTTGTTAGCCGCTCGCTCTATTCCCAAGCCGCAGGCCTGCTGACCCACTTTACAACTTCAAAGGTTCAACGTGCGATCCAACATGGCGCCCTCCACACATCACGCCTCGGCAAATTCCTGCCTTTCCCGGCAGTCTTAATCAAAGCTGACCCAGAATTTAAATGGTTAAAGGAAAATACGCACCACATACATTGACAAAATACCGAAAACTAAGCAAAGCTCTGCATGGTATTGATATGTAGTGATTTGTAGCCCTGGTGTCATATACTGTATGAAAATTAGAAACATGGAAAGCAACTGGTGGTGTTAATACCTGTTATACAATGTTGCAGAGGTTTCAGGGTCACCTAGAAAAGTAAGTTGCTTTAGGACAGAAAGGGACTCCACATGCACAGCACACCAGTGTTCACAACATGACATCATGCTTATAGGATCATAAAAGGAAAACAAAATAATGGCAAAGAAATGCGACACAAATCCAAGAACCCACCTGCAAAACTGAAAAATCATGGGCATGAATGCTGTCTGACCCCCAGGGTAATAATTTAGCCTCCAGCTCTGCTCTGGGTGTCACTCTAACCATCACCTTAGAAACCAATCGACCATCTGTACTTTACTTCAGTTTCCAAGGAATGTGTCTGGCCTCTTCACAGAGGTAGGTATGATGTGGACTCCAAAGCGCAGAGTGATACTGTAGCTGTCTCTGCCCTGCCCCCCCCCCCCTTTAGGTAGAGAAGGTGCCCATCCAATACCCTGCTTACCGGCATTGAAATCCTGCAGTTCCATACTCATTACCATAGGTACAGAGTTGCAGCCAATTAACTTTGTTTTCAATAAGAGTTTCCATATTTTATCGCTTGTGCCCGTAAGCCTGAATGAGACAAGTGGGTATAGAAAATGGTGTATGGATGGATGGATGGATGGATGGATGGATTTTATACTGTTAGCTAAAATAAAAATGACAGCAGAGAATTCTTATTCATTAGCGTTTCCTAGTTGTCTGAAACCAAAGGGCCCCACCTGAAAACAGACTGGACCCTTGCCACTGATGATCAGCTAAAACCGGGGGGCTTAATACCTTAATGCCTTTATCTCTGGGGGGCACCGACCTAGCCAGCGAATTTCACTTTCTCAGACAGTGCACGCTCAACATGGTCCACACCCAGGTGGGGGTTAGAGGGCAGCAGGGGTGAAACTGTCCTAAGGCTCCGTGTGGGCCTCGACCGCCGATGCCCTGTTGAATATTACTCACTTGAACCGGCATTTCGTCAATTCATGACACATTTGTCCAGACCTCCTTCCAGACCCCTTTCAACTGTCCTACAGACCCCCTACTGAATTACGAAGAATCAAAGGTTCTTCAACAGGTAGTAAAGTGATAAGACTTACCTTGCTTCAACAAGCAACTATAGAATAGATTATGCTAATCATAAGCATTCATTTTCATTCCTCTTCTTTTTCCCCTACTTATCCGACTCTACGTAACACACTGACGTCAAACAAAAAAACGGATACATGAAAAAAAGATGCAACTGACACTCATCCAGTAAGGATGTCTGCTTCAAACGAGACTGGTGCAAAGCATAGGGCCACTCTTCATCCAGGGGGTGCATGCTGTGCATTACCTTACTGGTTCTTTTCCAGCTCCTTCTCAATAGCATCTTCTGTAAATGAGATACAGTAGTGAATAGTATTACAGAAGTAATAACCACTCACAGGGAGCCATGACTCGAAAGAGCAGCCCAGAAGGTACAAATAGCACTTGGACACCATAAGCCACGTACAGAAAGCGTGTCTGCCAGAAAAAGCTGACATATACCGTGAATGCAGCTGAGGGTCTGGTATACATGTGCTTTCACATACATACATACTTTGGAATCTCTCCATTTAACCTTTTTTTTGTTTTGCAGATTGAACCTTCAGTTCTGAGGGATATGTCTTTTAAGACCCACCTCAGAATATAGTTCCCATTGTTCTGTGGCTGTGTCCACTTCTTCCCGTTTTGGGTTTGCAAGCGAGAACGGTAGGTGCGGATTGTGAAATGTTACACTGCCACGCCGAATGCTAATGCATGAAAAATGAGAGGATTCCAAAGGACATGAACTCTTAGTACAAAGAACATGTTTTTTTTGTACTAATGCTGTTTCTCAGGAAATAAAAGCCCATTGGAGTAAGAAAGACAGCAATCAGATAAGAGGTAATACACACAAAAGCATTAAATAGCTGCAGGAAGAAAAAAAACAATGCTCAGCTAAGCTATTATTCGATATCTGAGTTTCCGAGACATGAACGATCCAGAACTTTCTGCTCTATAACTGAATGCCCTCTACTTGGCTAAATGGCACAGTGTCACTTTCCTTCCGTAATTTTCATGCAAATCATTAACTGCATAATTGCATTTCCCCGTGACACCACCAGCTGTTCTTTAAAATTAATTTTACTGACATAATAAGCAAACTCCAACAAGCACTTTACTAATAAAAGCAAAACGCTGTAGTTACCAAATGTGTAGGCATGCACCTACTCATGTATGTAACACATCAACGTGCACCTCTCATTGTACAGAACATTAATATACAGGATTTTTTTTTCTTGAAACAGCAGTGTTTCACTGTCAGCAACACAAGGTCTGCACCCCCATTCTGCATATGCTATTTTGATACTTCTAAATTATGAACTTAATAGAAATGCTACACTGGAATGGCACGAAACATCAGCGCATGCTGAAATGAACATGAAATGGTCAATATTTGAAGTGTCTTCCACGGCAGTCAATTCCTAATGCGGAGAATATTTTCCCATTGGTCTAGCTGCCAGTCAACACGACAAAAGAACTGTAGAACTTTTAGGAAAAAGCTACATAGTACCCATAGTGCTCTATTGTACACAGTAAATCTTGTTCACTCTAAGCGGACAGCAAGTACGAGGAACAACAGCCTGGTAACATGGTGAATAAAATCTTCCACTGGATTTACTATCACTATGTGAGAGCTTTAGGACCCCTGTTTCTGTTGGAAAAGATCATTTATATCTTATATTTCATACCAAGTATATGGATCTACGCAGGATATACACACAGGTAATCACTGAGCTAAGGTTAGGGTTACAAACAAAAGGTCCTACTGAGGCAATGGTTACACTGGAGCACTGGGCTTCGGAGCATATCTGCTGGGGAATGCAGTGCGGCATTTCCCCCTGTACTCTGGATCCTTCTCAGCGTTCCACTCACAGCCTTATGCAGTGCAGAGGCAGGTCAATAGTGACGAAGTGACACAGAGCATAAATACAAAAAAGGCACACAAAGGGGGACAGAGAAGAGAAATGATTCACTTACTGAGTCTTTGGAATCCATCTCCTTCGGTGTCAAGGTGACAGCCAGCTCTAAAGAGCCCAGGTCTTCGTCAGGACAGTGGGCATCCTTCAGTTCCAATTTAACATCATGGGTCCTGGAACAGTATCATTACAGAACTGTGTTTTACCAGGTTTCGACAAGACAAGTTAGGACAACCCATTAAGTTTCCTATAAAAACAAAAACTACAATCTATTTGCATGGCTAAAACCACTATTACTACTGCTAATACTACTACTACTACTACTACTACTAATAATAATAATAATAATAATAATCATCTAACTGGCTGTTTGATAGATTACTTAACCACCGACCTGTTGCCTAATCCACATTCATAATTATCGTTACAGTGGATACTCACCCTGGTTAAAATGCCAGGCTTTTGTGATGTAAAAAAAAATGAAACTATGATAAATCATTTCAAAGCTTTTGCCACCTTTTATGTGTGAAAAGCTTTGAAATGATTTATCGTGACCTCATTTTTCTACATCACAAAGACCTGGCACCTGGCATCTAGTGAACTTCTAGGCATTGAACTGTACAGTATAGCATGTGCAATAACAGTTATTTTCAATAGATGGCTGTAGCGTTGCATTATACTTTAGAAGTCGATGGACAGGCACAAAGTCTTACTTTATATGTAATAAAAAACAATGACTATGTAATATTAAAAGAAGAAAAAATATGATTGCAACAATGTAAAAAAATATTATAAAATACATGGAATAAAAATGTTTATATGCAATTTATTTATATAACGAGAACAGGCAGATGGGGTCACAAATGCACCCCCCCACTTTACCTTTTAAGCTCCAGAGATTCAAGATACAGGTACGCTGAACCCATGAAGTCATCTTGAAGACCAAAGTCATAGTCAAAGACCTGCACAGCAAAGTAAGAGTGACATTAAGGAATGAAAAATTCAGCCACAGTGCTTCTTGATTCGCCTGCTTTGAATGATGATAGTAGTTACTTGAAATGTTCATCATGCATCAGAGTGAATTTCAGAAACTTATAATGAACACAAAGCCACATGCAGAAAAGCTAGATGATTGATATTTAACCAGGCAATGAAGGAGTTACATATAATTTTATGGGGGGTGGGGGGGGGGTACTTTTTTACATTTTGTTTTATTGCACATCTCTCCAGGCACCAGGGAAGTCATTTCTTTAACACTCCAAAAGAAGTGTTCCTTGAATTAGCAAACAGCCTTGTAAGCAGTTTATTTCTGTATTAAGGGACTGGCATCCTGTGCAGGGGACACTGGCTAGGACAGACTCCATGTCTCCGTTCCCTGTGACCCTGACAAGCGCTCCGAAGGGAGGGGTATCACATGCAGTGTTGCACAAAAGCCTTAAGCAGTCAGAGAAAATGTTGAAGCTGTTTATTTTGGCAGCAAGTGCATTTTGGCTCAGGAAAAAAAAAATAACATTACAACAATATGCAAATTTACTACAAGACAATAAGGCGGCAGCAGCTCATAGCTCTCCGGTTTTGAGCCTTGTTTTGCGTGAATGTTGTCCGTGAGTCATGCAAATCCACCTTATAGTCGCTTGGACTAAATTAATATCAGGCTTCCTATTTCGTTGTGTATTTAATAACATGCTGTGCTAGTGGTAAAGTTAACAAATACATGAGTGCATTGGATGGTTACCACAAATACCAGGATAACTTTAGGAGACACTTTGAAATAGCTAAGCCAACACACTTTTAACCAAAATACTAGTTTTACATCAGCATAAAGATCATTTCAGCATCATTTTCTTTGACTGTCTAAGACTTTTGCACAGTACTGTGTCGATGTGAAGGTGCATATGTGCCATCCATCCATCCATCCATCACCATAACTGCTTAACTCCAACTGGGGTCGCGGGGGGGGGGACCAGAGCCTATCCCGGGAGCAACGGGCACAGGCAGGAACCGACCCTGGGCAGTCACCAACACACCACAGTGCGCACACACTTACACACACTCACACACACTCACACAGAGGCACCCATGCCAGACTGTACCTTGAAATACAGCGGCTCGCTTAAGCTGTCCACCAGAAGGCTGACCTTCTCGTCCCACACGGGGTTCAGGTTCTTGTGGATGGTCTTGCTGCGAAAAACCTCCTTACCTGCGATTTTGAGCTTCACATACGGATCGCTTGTTCCTGGAGTGAAACAAAAGATGAGAGAAGAAAGAGCTCAAGACTTAAACCATGGATTACCAAAATGAATCAGTTATACTTTGCATGGAGTGGTCAAAATAAAGTTTATTCTTATATTTATAATAATCTAAAGAGGACAACGAAGGAGCGATATGGATCAGCACACAGCAAAGACAGTGAGCATCACTTTAATGGAGAAAGTTATAAGGAACAAAGGACTGCAAGGTGACAGGAGAAATAAAACTGATTGAAAGTATACAGATGTTTAATACATCATAAAGCCTTTAACCTCAATGTGAAGTTATCTTCAGAATTTTATGTACGAACACATTACCAAAAATGGGTAATAGGTATGTTTTAGTATAAGCTATTCTATAAGCAGACAGTGCTTTCACGTTAAGAATGCATCACAGCCTTCTTGCGGTTTTTCTGTTTACTGTGGTAGCTGTTTCAGAGGAAACTGAGACGAGTGTTTTGTTGTGGTGATCCTCGAGATTTCCGGTCATATGACCCGAGGCAGAAGCACCTAGTGGTTTAACTGTGGTTTCCTTACTCATCAGCTGGTGTTCAATCTAAGCAATAAAGCATATCCAATTAAAATGACTATTTTTTTAATCTGTACACAGTTTACTTGGCAGACATTTTCATTAATCTAACATAGTATCATGGATTTATGACGGTACTGACAACTTTTTCTGGATATTTAACTTTTGATTTATGATTGAAATGCCATCCACCCATCCAGCCCCCAAACGCCTGTGCAGTGCAGGACTGTTGGGGGCCCGGAGACTCGAAATGCAAATGTAACAAGAAACGTAAAATTTTATTTTCCTCATGGCCACATTGTAGCTCAGTACTGTTGCCTCATAACTCTAAGGTGGGAATTTGAATCCCAACCCTGCCCTGGTGTGTATAGAGTTTGCATTTTCTCCCCGTGTTCAATATAAAGACATCAAGTTCAGTCTTTGGTGCTGGCTTTCAGAGCCACTAACTGAACAGCACCCATCTTCATTAAGTTCCTCATTACAGCCAACATCTCGTCTCAACCTCTTCAGTCAGCAGCTCAGTGCCCATTCACACCCGGTCATCAGATTCCCTCTCACCCTTCAAAGAATGCCTCACAATCCATCTGTTCCAAGAACACTTCAACTACCCCCCTAGCCACTAACCTGTTCTACCTTCATCTGCAATCCCTTAGATCAGGGGTCTCAAACTCCAGTCCTGGAGGGCCGGAGCCCTGTGTAGCTTAGTTTTTTCCCTGTCCCAACAGAAGTGATTCAACTCAAGAGCTGTGTGGTAATTAGGTAAGTAGTTGAATCAGGTGTTTTCAATGAAGGTAAAACAAAAACTGTGCAGGGCTCCGGCCCTCCAGGACTGGAGTTTGAGACCCCTGCCTTAGATGGTCTCCTGCACATCCTGAATGCTCTTCTTTACAATTGTCTGTCATTGAGTAGCCCTCTAATTAGCTTCGTGCTGTGTTGGCAGCGTACTCGATAGCTCTTGGTCCAATGATAACTTGCACATGTTTGGTAGCCCAATCTAGATGCACATATGCATAGCTGGCTTCTTGACTGCTGTATGCACTGAAGTGTCGACTACATAAATAAATTTAAAGGTGCACAGAGACGTAAAACATAGACCTACTAAAACCCCAATAAAAAGTACAATATCACGTATAAGCTTATATTTCTGATTGACCTATAACGTGTGTGTGTGCGTGAGCCGTGCCAAAGACTATCAGCATATTCCCCTGCCTTGTGTTTTATATTGGAGAAGAAGTTGGAAGGCGCATGGTACAATATCTGGAAGTGGCAGCAGGGGGCAGCAAACTCTAAGAGTTCAGTTTAAAAGCAGGCAAACTGCTCTTGTCAATGTGGGGAAGACGTTCTAAAAATGTGGCATTACCAAGAGAAGAAACTTTCCCTATTTTACACATCTGTCACTCTCTCAACATACAAATGTCACATATTTGCTTGTGGTCCCTATTCTATTACAATGTTTTCTCCATGGTATTTCTAGGGCTGCAACATCTAATTGATAATGTTGATAATTAACGGTAATGGTAATTACCGGTAATTATTAATTAGTTGACACTTTTGTCGTTGATTCGTTGCATTTCATTATTAAATCTGGCCAGCAGATCGATCTTTAAGTTTCACTGAATAAAAACGACTTTAACGTTAATCTAATCAGCAATTTTTCCTATGCAGAAATATGGAGACGTAAGCAAAAAAAAGTGTATTCCGTAAATTTAACTGAGGTACAATAATCATATGTGCTCAATTTTTGCTCTGCTAATTTTAAATATTTTTCCAGCACTTCCACGTAGCTTCAAAGTGGTCAACCAATCAAAACCTGTTATTTTGACGACCATTCATTTCGGCCCCAAAAAGGGTAAATTCAGTTTTATAAAAATCAGTGACTGCAGTCAGAAAACTGAAAATGCCAATAGACTTGTATTTTGTTTGGTTACTTATGGTTAAGGTTAGGGCTGGTTAAGGGTGTCGTGATTGGGATTAGGGTTTTAGAAAAGAATGGAAGGTCCCCATTTAGATAGGTACGGCAACGAGTGTGTGGGGGTGCGCGTCAGAGAAAGACAAGAAGAGAAAGATAGAGAGAGAAACCTGAAAGAGATATTTATATGATATATCTGTCTATTCCAAAGACTAGCGGTGCAAGGCAGGGAACAACCCAGGATGGGACGATCATTTTGAGAAATGCGATATCATCAGGGATTTTGGATACTGTAACATAATAATGTAGTGTAGAATTTGTATGTTCATGGTTCTAAAGGCAAGATGTGAGATTAAATGATAATCTGTCGATAAATTATACTAGTGATATTTAATAGTCAATGGCTAAATGCCTGTTTCTTTAAACATTATATGCGTGCTGATAATAACTTTTATATATCAAAAAACCTGACTTAGCCCCCGATCATTTCAATAGCTAGAACGCCCAGGTGTTAATCGTGCAATGAAAAAGAGTTTAATAACAGGAGTAACATACTGAGAGCTCAACAGGACCCATCTGCAGTGGTGGCAGCGGGCTGGGGGCGGGGGCATCCTGGACATTTGTATCACAGTTTCAGTCACAGTTTCAGAACCGTTATATCACGTTAGGTAGAGGGGGGGGGGGCATATTCTAGATATTTATATCTCACCCACTTATCTCACCACCGTAAAATACAGTCCCCAGTAGCCTCCCATTGTTATGTAAACCTGTTTTCAATTCCTTTCAAGAGCAAATCTTAAACCAACAAACTCAAAATCACAATGCTCATATACACATGCCTGCAATTAGTTTGGAATTCATTATAGTTGCTGGTGAATACAGTGCATTCCTATGGAATTCAATGGCTAAAGGGAGTAATGACATGTGAGACTGCTATATAGCATGCATTACCTCCAGCAGGCACCCACCCCCCATGCAGGCGGAATGGATTATCCCACATAAAACAGTCATTAAAACCTTTACTTTGAAGTTGTACACTCTAATTAATTTAACCTTTAAGTTTTATTTTTGCATTCACCTCTATTCACTCTCTCTATGCCTATTAAATATTCACCAACACAGAATGAGATGTGGCAGCTTCACTTAAACATGCCATAAAATCAATGCATGTGTGTGCGTGTGTTTTAACTATACATGCCGCGAACCACTGAAAATTGTCCTGCGATGAACTTTTAGGCATGAAGCTTTTCGCTGCAACTCCGTGCTTAGAGTAGAACGTAGAGGACTGATCAACTGAAGAGTTCGCACAACTGGGTTTGAGTAACTGATCGAACGGTTATCCCAGAAAAAACCTGCCAACACACCGGCCCTTTCTGGATTTGATTTCCCGCCCCTGTAGTGGCATACTGTATGCAGTTAGTGTGTATTGCTTGGTATTAGTATTGCTTGTGCCATATGGTACACTTCGTCATATATAGGGAAAAAAGAGAAATAATAATAAAAAAAACATTAATAAAATAAAAAGAAAATAATAAAACCCAATAATAAATCATTATCCCTCGTATGTGTACATGTGTGTATTTGTAGCCCTATGCTGACCATTGGGTGTTGTGCAGTTTCTTCATTACACACATAACTTAAGAGGGACAAGCTGTCATTGCCATAATGGAAGAGTAGAATGACACTACAGCGGTCAGATACGAATCCATGCCTTTGTACACTCGAAATTACGTCTGTAATGTTTGGATATTACACGCACCTGTCTATTCCAGTCAGCCAGTAACATTCTGTAAGCGACAACGTTGGACCAGGAATTTGTAAGTGGTCGTAGTGTGACTGAAACACAATGAACTGCAATTAACGTAATATTTGTGTGTGTGTGTGTGTGTGTGTGTGTGTGTGATTATTATATATTTATATGATATTACACAGTTCACGGGTTTTTGTACGCGACCGGCTGTGAAAGTAGTTTGTTAGTTGCTGTGCACGACTCGCCATAAGTCTGTCCAATCAGCGCTGGAACCATTGTAGTTTGAACTATGGTAGGTTCGCCGTGAGTCTGACCAATCAGCGCTGGAACCACTGTAGTTCGAACTACGGAAGTCCCAACTAACGTGGTTCGAACTACTGTGGTACGACGGTTTTGGGAAACAGTCGTACTTCGGATGATGGTTAGTTTTAACTACCAAAGTACGATGCATCGTTAATGCCAACTTCCGTCGTTGTTTGGGAAACACACCGCAGAATAGGACAGGGATCCATACTATCAATGTTCCTCAAAGTAATGTTTCCATTACAAAAGACTCAGAGTATTTCATATACTATTTCTAGGGATTCTTTATGAGCCTGAGCTATAAATGGCGGGACTACATATGAATGTAGCTATTAGGAAATTGAGATGGAAATTGGGGCGATGGTGGTGCAGGAGGTAGTGCTACCCTTCGGCAACCGGAGGGTCCTCCTGACCCCATCGAAGTGTCCTTGAGCAAGACACTGAACCCCGAATTGCTCCCGGTGAGCTGGTTGGCGCCTTGCATGGCAGCCTCCAC